GCTACAGAGGGCGGATGAACCCCTGAAATTATTGCCCTGTGATAATCTTTAAACCTTAAAGTAAAAATATCCCTGACATCTTAAAACCTAACAGTTGTTTTGCTAAACTAGTAAAAAAAAAGATCTGCCTTGAACAGTATGCTCTTTGAAGAACTTTCTATGTGGGATTAAAGAAGTGCTGATGTCACAGTGGGTTAAGTCTTGGACAACCAACCCCAAAGTTGGCAGTTCAAACTCTATGGTTGGCAGTTCTATTCTGTGCTACAGTGTCACTCTTAGAATCCGCTTGATGGCAGTGAGGTTTGTTGTTGTTTTTCATTGTTTTTATTGTGAATTATGTGATAGTTTACATGGGAGAACATTAGTTTTACATTCATCCTATCGTATATTGTTTCATTACCATGGTTACAATCCCCTCCATGCATTATCAACCAACCAACCAACGGGTATACACTACAAGCCTGCCCCCCACCCCGACCCCAGTCGTCAGCACACAGCCCCTCTCCCTCTCTGGGTCTAAAGTCCCCAACTGCTCCATCTCTCCAAGTCATCATCTCTGCCTCCATCTCAGGCATCACTGCTTCTCTGGGTAGGGTCCTGCTCTCAGCTTTTCTCCCTTCATGGTCCGATGGACCTCCACTCCTAGACTGAAAAGTTAATCACTCCCCTTCTTGCTACAAAACGTCCATCTTTACATTTCCAACCCTCACAATCAGTCCTGATAGCAATTATTCACTATTGTATCACAGAAGACCCATCTGCATTTCATTTTATCAGCCCCGCCTAGACATATTGGATACTACTCAGTGGAGATTCTACCTTCCTTCACGCCCTCTGAATCTAGGTTCCCTCTTGAAAGCTTAAAAGACAGTCACTTCTTGCTGTTGTAGCCCCCCCACTTTGGGTAGCCAATGTCCAAGTTGCCCATCTCTGTCTCCTGTGTATGGAGGGGATGGGACTGAGCCTTGCTGTAAGGATTTGTTTCCTGTTTTGAGCTAGGCAGTGGGGTTTTATATGAGATCAACTTGACAATAGCAATTTGAAAGATTAGCTGGGAGCATTAGTGGTGCAGTGAATTTGTGTTAATGAGGGAAGAATGACTCAGAAAAGAAGAGTGAATATGATTGTACAACTCAAAGAATGTAATCGATGTCATGAAATTATATATGTAGAAACTGTTGAATTGGTGTAAATTGGGCTGTGTACACCCATTCTCAACAACAAAATAAAATTGGGGGCGGGGGAATTACAATCCAGGAAACTTTATGTGGTAGTTCTATTCTGAAGTCCGTGATAATGAGCAATTTTAGGGGCCAGTGCTCTCAGTGCAGGAGGTGAAGTGAGGGGCTCAGCTTCATCCACTCATTCATTCATTCTGCAAATAGTGTCTGCTTTGTGTCAGGCACTAAGCCAGGAGCTGTGGATATGAGAATGCACAGGACAGACCTAATCCCTCACTGAGCTCAGGGAAAAGTGAGACAGACACATGATTCCAGGAGGGCGAGGAAACCACCATTTATCTAATAGCTCTTTTGTTTCTTCACCAGATGTTTTGTCACTGCACATCCGCTTCACCCCAAGAAGTTGGGCTTGTCCCCATTTTACTGTCGAAGACGCTGAGGCTGCCTCCTTGGTAGAGCCACCAAGGAGACAAGAAAAGGCCAGCTGCTCAGTCAGTCCTTTGACCAGAGAGAAACTGGGAGCCGGATATAGACTTTCCGGAAAGGCTGGAGTGAACGTGTCTTTGTATTGGGAGGGGAGGGGGGCCCCCTTTCCCCGCCCCCTGACCATAGCGTGGCGAGGCGGGTAGGGTCGGGGCGGAGTCGGCGTCGTCTAAGGGGCGGGAGGGCGACTTGGGAGCCCAGCAAGGTTGGCAGACGGACAGGCGTGAGGGATCGGCACTGAAGACCTACAGACTGAGGGCGACCCGACCCAGTGCACTGGGCATGTGACCTCGAGGCCAGAGAAGGACTTGAGCTGTCCCACCGGGGCGGACCCCGTGAGTGAACGCCCTCACCTCTTGCACCCCCTACGTCCCAAAATTGCTTCCACTTTCATTTCCTGGGTTGTCCCAATGGGGCGAACAGAGGCAGGTTAACCACCGTGCCCCGTCCGGGATCTGAGCACTCCGAAGAAGTTAGAGTAGGGGGTGGCGGTAGTTGAGGGGGGCGTGTCTTCGGGAGCGGAAATGTCAGGCCAGCTCCTCTGGGTCCTAAAACCTGTCATACCCCTATAGGTGGGGTGGGAGGAGGTGGTGAAAGGACCAGAGAGGTGTCGGTTGAGTGTGGGTGGTGGAGTCCTGCAGGGAAGACCAACGGTGGAATCGGCGCTACAACCTTCCGCGTGGATCTTGTCACACGACAAGGTGCCCTCCCCACCACATGCACAGCTCAGGCTGGGTGGTGGGTTCAAACTAGGTGCTGGCAGGTTTGGCCCTGGTGGAAGCAAGGAGGATCACCCTATGGTCCTTTGGTAAGTGAGCAAGTCACTGGCAGCTGTAGAGTAAATGAACACCCAGAAATAGGAAATAGGCTCAAAGGGAAATCAACAATAAAGAAAGAAGGTTCTGTGAGGGACAGTAACTCACGGTGTTGGGAGAGTGTGTGTGTGTGTGTGGGGTGGGGGACGGGCTGATGGAGGGAGTGAGGGAAGACAAGCTGCAGGAATAGAAAGGCCACTGCCCTCACTTTCCCCGCATTCACCCTCAAATCTTAAATTGTCCTGGAAAGAAGACCAGCCCTCAGCTTCTCACAGCAGGAAGATGGAACTCTGGATCACTAGTGGGTCAGGGTGCCCAAGTTGCTGTAGGAGTAGGATGAGGAGAGATATTGGGGGAACAGGAAGCAGTTTGGTCTGTTTACCCACCTCTTACCTTCTCCCCACTAGGCAAACCCACACAGGAAAATGGTCTTTTACTCATGAGACTGAGCCTTTTCCAACCTTGTCCTAGCTCTGCCTGTCACTTGTGTGGCCTCATCTCTCCTTCTGTACAAGTGGGACAGCTGACATCTCAGTGCTTTCCCAACCCTACAGTTCTAGGTTCAAAGTTTTCCTTGAAACCTGAGCATTAACTCTGTGCTAAACCATGGCTGGGTTCTCAGGGGAGGCAGTGATGGGCAAAGAGCAGCCTCCCCTCAAAGAGAAGGAAAACTGGGTTTAGTAAAGGCACAGCCAGGGAGCCGTGGGAGGAGGTGGCAGTCAATCTGAAGAGTGTGTATAGTCAGACTGAGGCATCAGGGGTAGAAAACATACAGAGACAGGAGAGTGTGATGTGTTCAGGGGTCAGAAAGACCAGTGTGGTGTTTAAGTGCCCAATTGAGGATCTATTTGCAACTCTCAGTAAAGAGAAGGATGCAAACGTGGAAAGCCCAGGAACCCCACCCAACTTAAGGGTGAATGATTTGGGAAGCAACGGCCACATGCAGAGTGTAGAATGGAAGCTGCAAGTGAAATGTAGGAATCACCTCTTTGCTCAGGTCCCACCCTGGGGACTTCTTTGTGTGAGAAGTTGAGAAGGCTTCAAAGTGGGAGTAGATAAGATGACTTTGTCATCTGTTTTTTAACAAAGGGACAAGATCCTGTTGGTAGACTCCCCCAGTTACTTTCATTTTATTTGATTTTCCCTTCCTGGCCTGCTGGTTGTGGGTATGAAGAAGTACCTTAATCTAAATATCTTCTCCATTAGCTTGACGGGTGCCTGAAGTGACTCCCTCCATCATGTGCTTTGCCTTGGTTAGCCCAATTATTGCCTTGTACCTACCCTCTGTTCTTCAGTCCATTCCCAACATTACCAGATATGTGAAGAAGGATGCTATAGTATCAGCCAGTCAGGCTTTGTCTGTGGCAGTATTCTATCCCCAGTCTAGTGTTAGGGTCAGGACTCAAACTGAACAAGATGAGAACCAGGTCAGAGTTCAACCTGGGACCAAAAATCAGAACTACCCAGAACCTATACTCAGACTCAGTGCTATGTCTGGGGTCAGGGTCAGTATACTCAATTTGTAGCTAAATCCTTGTCTCAGCTGGTATCTGGGTCTGCATTTCATAAGAATTTAGAGGAGAGATTAGATGAGTACCCTGAGATTCCCAAAAACATGGCTTTTATTGAAGTGAAAGAGGTTGCATGGGCTAAATCCATCTATAGAGCTCACCCGTTAGTGGCTGAGATGGGACTAGAACCCAGGACTCCTGCTTCCAAGCCTGGAGCACTGACTGATCACTGCTTTTAGAGTCTGTTCTAAGTCTGGAATCTTTCCATTCTAAAAGGCAAAGCAAATTTATCTTATGTTTCCTAGCTGGGTGAATCTACCTGTACTCTCCTACCACACTGTGCTTGACAGTTTTAGTCTACTAAGTGTTAGCTTCCAGGGGAGAGGCCAGTAGCTTATTGGAGTTGGGCTGGAAGAGCCTTGCTTGGTGGGGGAAGGATTTCCAGCCACTGTTTGGGAAGCAGAGCCCTGCCATCTCCTCTTAGCACCTGCAGCACACTGAGACCGCCCAGCTGGCCACATGAGGGTCCTTTCCTGTTTCAGGGTAGAAAAAGGAAAGGACATTTTTGGTAGAAAAGTCCCTCTTGCTCCTTGGGAATCCCCGGTGGCCGGATGAGCTACGGGATATCCCAGAGGAAGTTGAAGGTGGGGGCTCACTCTGCCCCCAGCACAATACAGCCCAGCTCTGCCACAATGCATCAGCTGGCCTATGAGGGCTCCCAGAGGTCATCTCATCCAGGCCTCTGTAACTCTAAGGGTCAGCACCTGTTTGGAACCCAAGGCCAGCTTTCAGTGAGATAGAATGAAAGCAGAAAGGAAACAAAACAAGGTCAGAGAGCTGTGGGAGTTGCCCAAGGGAGGCAGGACTCTGGACCCAGGAACTGAGAATTTTTATTTAGAGGTTTGTTTAGGGAAATGACAACGTGGGAAATCCTTTGGTAAAGCTCTGACCATTTCCCATGCATTTGCCCCTGACAGGGCATCTGCAGGACACCCAGCCCCAGTAGGGCCATGGCACTGTGCCTAAAGCAAGTGTTCGCTAAAGACAAGACATTCCGTCCACGGAAGCGCTTTGAGCCAGGCACACAGCGCTTTGAGTTGTACAAGAAGGCGCAGGCATCGCTCAAGTCGGGCCTGGACCTACGTAGTGTGGTGAGGCTGCCGCCTGGCGAGAATATAGACGACTGGATCGCAGTGCACGTCGTGGACTTCTTCAACCGCATTAACCTCATCTACGGCACCATGTCTGAGCGTTGTAGCGAGACCAGTTGCCCCGTCATGGCAGGCGGGCCCCGCTATGAGTACCGCTGGCAGGACGAGCGCCAGTACCGGCGGCCAGCCAAGCTCTCAGCACCTCGTTATATGGCGCTGCTCATGGATTGGATCGAAGGCCTAATCAACGATGAGGATGTCTTTCCCACGCGCGTTGGTGAGGGCCACCAGGCGAGCCTATTCCACAAATACAGCATTTAGTGTGATATAACCACTCTGGGAAAAGGAGCTCTGGTAGCGTAGTGGTTTCGAATCGGGCTGTGAGCCGCAAGGTCACCAGTTCGAAACAACCAGCTGTTCCGCGGGAGCAAGATGAGGGTTTCTGCTCCCATAAAGATTTACAGCCTCGGAAACCCTGTACAGGGTCGCTATGAGTCGGAACCGACTCCACGGTACATAACCACCACCAACCACTCTGGGAGGGAGGAATGGTTTTGTAGAAAAAGACGGAGGCTCATTGAGGTTAAGTGTCTTCCTCAAGGTCAGTTATCTTGAGCTAGAATGGCCCAGCACCCAGTTTGGGCTCTTCTTGTCCAAAGCCTGAGTGCCCCCTAGGTAGGGTGCACCCAACACTGGCATTCTGAGTGTCAGAATTTTCAAGGCCCAAGGTTTGTAGCAGGTACCTCCTGCTTGGGCTGCTATGACTTCCGGCCTCCTGAGATTTCCCTCTCCAAGCCCCAGGAGGGAGGGTAGTTGAGTTGGTTGGGATGGTATCTCCACTTAAAGTGTCGTTATGACGGCAGGATTTTTCCATGTCAGACACAGGCCAAGGGCCTTTTCTTATCTCAGCTGGGCAGCCAGGGTGGATGTGGGCAGGAAAGGGAGGGAAGAGATGCCACCGTGGCTCTACTTCTCCACCTCAGGAAGCAGGAGGGGGTGTCAGCCCGAGAGCTGAGCAGGCATGACACTGTGTTCATCATAGCTGCCCCACCTGTATCCTGGGTCCCACCCCTGTCAGCCTCCTGCTGGTCCAGGGTCATAATGCTGTGGGAAGGGTTAGAATCAGAGATGGGTGGGGAAGCCTAGAGGGGAGAAGTGTGAATACTGAGGGAAGTTGGGTACTGAGTCATAGTTCAGTGCCCACAGCTCCTCCCCAGTCAGTGGCCTGCCATTTCCTGCACTATCATGCCCAGCAGTACTCCACTACCATAAAGACGAGTCCCACTCATATGACCCAATAGAACTGCTCCACAGGGTCTCTGAGACTTTAAATCTGTACAGGAACAATCTCATCTTTCTCTCTTAGAGAGGGATACTTAACACACTGCACCACGAGTGTGCCTTTACGCCTGATAATACCAAAACCCAAAATACTGCCATTGAATCAAATCCAATTCAGTAACCCTGAGGAGTGGCTGGTGAGTTCAAACTGTCAACATTGTGGTTAACAGCTCAATGACTAACCCTCTGTGCTACTAGGGCTGATAATGTTGCTGTGAGTGCTGTCAAGTTAGTTCCAACTCATAGCGACCCTGCATAGGGTTTCCAAGGAGCAGCTGGTGGCTTTGAACTGCTGACCTTGTGGTTAGCAGTCCAGTGCTGATCCTTCAGCACCATGCCAGGGGTCCTGATAATGGGAACCTTTATTTCATGGGAAGCAACTGAGGCTGAAAGAGGAAACATGGATATAGAAGTAGAGTTCAGGTCTCTTGTTCAAGATGAGAAGGACATGTCTGAGGGACCTGGGCTTGGCCTACAATGGCTCACAGGGAGACAGGGTTCAGTCCCATCCAAGAACAGTGGCATGGGGCAGACCAGGTGTGGCCCCAAAGTGACCTTTACTGCCTTCAGCCTTAACTTTCTGGGCCTGAGAGACCCCAGGTGTCCATACTTTGATCCTGGGACAGCTCTACCACAGAAGAGAAGACGGACAGCACAGCCACCAAGATCTCCACCTTGATAGTGAGATCTGTGCCCAAACTCTATTTTTTTCATGGGTCCTAGAGCTTCCCATGGGCAGGAAAGCCGTATGATTTATATCATTCATATCTAAAGGGTATTGAAGAGTGGTGCAAAAAGGGTTTGAACCTTGGCTTTAGTCTTTACTAATTAATAGTTATGTGACCTCAGGCAAGTGTTTATGTGCTTTGGTTTTATCATATCTAGGAAGCTATGATTAGATCCAGCTGCAGGACAGTTGGAAGAATTAGAGTCAAAGGTGCAGAGGGCCTGGCATAGGGCCTGGCTCATATGGAACATTCCTCAAAAGTGTTTCTGAGTATTTGAAGGAATGGGGGCTATCTGAATTCTTTCTCAAAGAATAAATCATTCTTAGGATTGGGGGTTTGAGGCCTGCTATGGCAGTGTTGAGAAGAGGAGGGTCTCTGGATGGATTGGAAGGGGAGGTCAGGGTCAGATCATGAGAGGCCATGAACAGGTGCCATGCAGAGAGGGGTTAGGACTTAATCCTGAAAACCTGTTGGCTTTTTAAAAACGGCTCCATATTTTAGTGAACTCCCCTTGGTATCATATTAAGGATGTGATGATGTGAGCATATCTGCAAATAGATGTATTTCCAGTGAGAAAATAGGCCATTACTTTAATCATAGTTTAAGAAGGGTTGATCAATGACATCCCCCCCTGAAAGTTGCAAAACCCTACTTTAAGCAACTAGGAAGCTATAGATATATTTCAGCAGGGAAGAGGCACAGCCAGATTGATTGAAAAAGAAAGCATGGGAGAGAGCAAACCAAAGAGATGGATTGACACAGTGGGCAACAACAACAATAGACTCAATATAGCAACAACTGGGAGGATGGTGCAGGACCAGACAGTGCTGCGTTCTGTGGTACATAGGGTCTCGCTGTGATTTGGAATCGACTCAGTGACACCTAACAACAATCTCTCTCTGTCTCCCAAAGGGAAATGTGTTGAGGGAAGAGACCATCCTAGGAAAAAGCAGCTATGTGGGGGTGGGCAGGATTGGTAGCATTTCCTCACCAAAATGCCAACTACCCCCTTCTGCCCCACCCCGCCCTCTAGGAGTTCCCTTCCCTAAGAATTTCCAGCAGGTCTGCACCAAGATCCTGACTCGCCTCTTCCGCGTTTTTGTCCACGTGTACATCCACCACTTCGACAGCATCCTGAACATGGGGGCCGAGGCACATGTCAACACCTGCTACAAGCACTTCTACTACTTCATTCAAGAGTTCAGCCTGGTGGACCAGCGGGAACTGGAGCCATTGGTGAGGCCAAGCCCCCTCTGCCCCTCCCAAACTCCACCTGGGCCAGCCTCTGTATATTTTCCAGGCCAAAGCCTGCCTGCTTCAAAAAAGCCCTTCTTCGGTTTCTGGTTCATACATTGAATGTTGTCAGGGGCTCTCAAGTCAGTTCCGACTTAGGCCAACCCTGTGTAGGGTTTCTGAGGAGAGCCTGGTGGGTTTGAACTGCTAACCTTGTGGTTAGTAGTCCAGTGCTTATCCTACAGCACCACATCAGGACTCTGTACGTTAAATAACATAGGTAAATTAGGGACGGCAATCTATTTAAGTGTAGATTTCTCGCTTTCCTAAAAAACTTGGATAAATGGGTAAATTAGGAAAAATCCATTTATTTAATAATAGATTCTCTACTTTATAATTTATTCAAGTGTCACTTGAAAACCCCAGATCTGCAGGCTGGAGTTGGGAATGAGGGTGTCCTGGGGGTGGTTGGAGCGGGGCAGTGTCAAGCAGAAGAATAGCCAGGTCTGCAGTTTGGCAAGGGGCTGCCTGGATGACTGAGTTCTGATTGACCCCCCCCTCCCCCACGCCCCTTTGTATCTCTGCAGAGGGAGATGACAGAGCGGATCTGCCACTGACCCCAGACCTGGACATTGCTGGTTGTCGAGTGGACCGTCTGAACACAGGGTGTCAGTGGCAGGGGGCCCTCAGGAGTCTGGTGCTAGAGTCCCTGGGACTCTCTTCACATACCCAAAGCTCCTTGACTTTTGGTTCTCAGCAGTCTGCCTACATGGTCCTTTCATTGTTGTGAATGAAGATGGAAGAAGGCTTCAAAGTGGGCCAAGAGAAGGAAAGGAGTTGTTAAACGTCTAGTAGTGACGTCACGACTGGTGTAGGCCAGAGGGTTTCTTCCCTGTTATTTATCCTTCCATATTGGTTCTCAAGCCCATTTGGGGTTTATGAATGTGACCAAAGTGGTGGAAAGAAAGATGCAAGAGAGGAGTAGTGTATATGTGTGTGTATGTGTGAGCACAGATGACAGTGAATGTTGTGTGTGTGTATGTGTGTGTGATTTTGACTGTGGGATGTGCCTGCCTTAGACCCATCCTGGCACACTGTACACCCTCCAGAAATGAATGAATGAATGAAGTAACTGGGATCATCAGACCATGACCACTGTGGGAGTGATGGCAGGTGAGTAACCCTGCTTGGTAGGCCTCACCATGTTTGTAAGTGAACAAAATGTGGTTGCGGACATATCTCTATGTTTGAACTTTCCAGGCTACCGTCTTCCATCAGCATGAGTGCTGGGGAGTGGGGCCAGGGAAAGGGGAAGAAGAGGAAGGTGGAGTTTTGTACTGAGTACTTAAACCCTTGACCTACTACAGACAACAGATTCAGATTTTCTCAGCCAGAGATGTTCATGAGCTTTCATACCTCTGCCTCCGGGAAGGCCTGCTTATAAATAAACTCTTCTGGGGGTTAGGGGTGATTTCTGAGACCCACAAGGTCCCCTGGTCCTTAAATTGAGAATCATACACTCTAGTATATTCCCAGAATCTACAGACCTGGCTCCCAGGATCTGAAACTCAACACAAAATCCTCCAGCTCAACATGCCAGTAAAACTTAAATTGGGAAACTGGAGTCTTGTCTCCCATCTTGAGACAGAACAAAATAGCTGGTAAATGAGTTCTTCCAAGCCTAGGGAGCCTGTAAGTATCTGCTGTCTTCCCAATAAATCCTGAGACATTCCAGCTGATTGGAGTTTAGAGCACAAATATTGACAGAGAGAGTAGGATGTTCATTCAGCACTCCATTACTCTCATTGCCATGCCCAGAGCCATTGGTAGAGAAACCAAGGCAGGAGCATAGCCTTACCATACCAGAGCCTCCATGCTGGGAGGCCAGGATGGAGAGCCAGAAGAAGGACCCGAGAATCATCCAGGCCTCACTCTCTCAATGTACATAGGAGGAAGCTGTTGATTCTAGGAGGACAGGAAGACAGTCTAAGTCCTTACAGTGAGACTTTCATGAAACTGGACTAGAAGAAACTTCTGGCTAGAAACCAGGGCCTATCAGTTGCTAAATATGAATATAAGATACACATGAAAGAGGGTTTGATAGCCCTTTTTCAGGACACAACTGTTCCTGCTTTGAGCAAAGATTTCTCGCCTAATGCTAGAGTGCCCCACCATTCCTCAGGTCTGCTGGGATAGTCTGCTGAGCCAAGCCCCCAAATCCATGTGCCCTGCGGCTGCCTGCCCCCTAGGAAACAGACAGGACCCCTAGGAACTGCCACCTCTGCTGCCTCGTGAGAAACTCCCAAGGGAACTGTGTTGACCTTCCTGCCTTGTTTGCCAGAGGTTCTGAAGTGAGATGGTCAGCGTTTCCCCCCAGACTTGTCTATAGCTTAGAAGATGGATTCTAGGCTCTGGCCAGAGCTGATTTGGGGGAAAGGGGAGGAGAAATCTATTTGTGTGAAACAGAGGGAAGACTTTATTGTTATTTTTGTAAAATAAAGGAAGTGAATTAAAGTGACTGTTGGTGGGGAGCTGTGGTCTGGGTGCCACATGGCTCCTGGGCAGGCTGTAGAAAGAGCCAGGGTGAAAAGGGCAGGGAGGGCTCTTTGTCATGAGATCTGGGCCATGTGGTGAGCTAGCTGGTGTGGTCTTATCTGGCTCAGTTCTCCAGGGTGGGGCAGCTGAGGTTTTCCCAGAACTCTGGAACTTCTGGGCTAAGGTCCCTGGGATGGGAACAGCTGGAACTCAGTCTGATGGGAGAGGTTTTTCCTTGTTTTAGCTTTTAGGTCAGGTCACCTGGCATCAACTATTCTTGCCCTCCCCCTTAAATCTGAGTGGTTTATTGGAGCTAAAGGGTTAAGTGAGGGGGAAGAAATACAAATAGGCTTTAAATTGTTTATGGAAAAATAGAATTGAAAGATAATGGAATTTCCCCACAAATGTTTTGAAGCCCCTTTATACAGTCCCAATCCTAATCACAGCAGAGGATATCCTTCTCAAGAAGCAACTGCTGGGTGCGAATGGGAACTCAAGAGTGTAGTGGTAGGACATGGAGCGAACTCTCCAGAAGGCACTCTGCTGCCCTTTATTCTGGCTTACCAGAGGAGGCCCCAGTCCAGCATTCTAAAAGATCTTTGCTTGCACACCTCTTAGGATAGATCACTTACTACCTCTTCAGTTACAGGACAGCTCAAACTGCTAGAAAGTTATCATATACCTCTGGAATCATGGGTGTTTCAAAACACTATGGCAGTAAGAGTCCATTTATCTCAGATCTGTGTGGCCCTAGGTCTGCACTCTACATGGGAATGCCTATGAACATATCAGGAAACCTTTGCAAAATGTAAAGCTTCAGAGAGGGATGATTAGAAAAGAATAAACAGAGGTAAAGAGAAAGGAAGAGAGAATGGGGCCCTCAGAGATACAGAATCCCCCACAGGTCAAAACCTGGCAGAAGGTTCTGGTAAAGGCAGTGTATTGAGGGTAGAGGGGCATCATGGTTGGGCAACCAGCTTGGGGAAAGATGTTTTCCTGTTGCCTGTGATCTGTAGACATCTTTGAAATGGGATGAAGGTTCTATTCTCCCCACCCTGGGCCAGGGCACCTACCTGTTGAGTAAAGAATGTTCCACCACTCCCAAGAACACTGCAGCCTTCTCTTTGAGGTTTACTGCTGGAGTATTTTCAGACCCCATTCTACATAACCCCAAGGGATATGTGGAATGTGGTGAAGGGAGCCCCAAGCATGGTTGAATCACCACCTGCTTTGGGGATAGTTCTGCTTGACCTTTCCCTCCCTTTCAAGTTGCTCCCAGGTATCTTTACCTGGTGTTAACTGAATTTGCTTGCTATATGGGGGATGTAGCAAGTTCATGAACCTGGACTGGAATATGGGCCTGAGTGGCCCAGGACTAGCTGGCTATTGAAAACAGAAGAACCGGGAGGATAACAGGCTATCGAGTCCTCTGAGGACTTGAAACTTGAATGGTGATGGATGGAAGAGGTCAGGATATAAACAGAGGGCTCCAAGGGGATTCTGTAAAGGACTGGAGTAAACAGAGCTTGGAAAAATATCCCCTCCAACCTTAACAGCAACTGGGAAATCTAGCAAATCATCCCAAACTCTTTCCATCATACAAAAGAGAAGACTGAGATCAGAAAGGAAAGGGAAGAAATGTTTGTCAGACCTTCACAACAATCCGGAGACGGGAAGGATGGTTCATTGCATTTCACAAAGGAAGATATTGACATTTGGAGTGAGGGCCTGAATTAAAATCCAAGTCAGCACTCTCATTCTCTCCTTGCACCTGCAGCCTGAAGTAGGGGTGAAGGCTGGTTGAGGAATTAATTTATTTGTAGTTGCTTCTCTCCAAGAAATGAGCTTTTGAAATTTTTATGTTGAATTATTTAGAGCAGTGCTTTGGTTCAAGGAGAAAGAAACTCACGGGGAAATTACAGGCACTCGGACCTTTCAAGAAATTTTACAGAATTAATCCCTGTTGTTTTAGACAAGACTAGCAGGATTTCCACATATGTAAAAGGTTACACCCATATTCCTAGATTTCAGAAGCGCTCAGGAAACATTAATTGCTTGGCCTCCTCTCAGTGTTTCCCTGGCTACCAGCCACTGGACTCGGAAAAGAGAGCGTCAAACGCAGCTAAGCTCCACCCCTACGCCAGAAACCACCGCACCCATTTTATCTCACGCCTGCGCAGTATGATTTAGTTCGCCCCTCTTCCTCCAGAGTAATCATTACGGCGCAGGTGTAGCCCCGCCTCCTTACGCCCCTCTTCGGTCAGGCCCTCCCCTCAGATCTAGGAACGCCTCTTCTGTGTTCCGTACGGTGCGATCTGCAGGTGGGGGTTCGTGAGATTGATCCGCGAGGAGTCAGCTGAAGTAAGGGATAGACAGCAAGGTATTCCTCCAAAAAAGTGGGGCTGGGGATTTGTGAGTGAGTCCGTGTGCCCGGGAGGGGCAATCAGGCCTTGAGAGAGCTCGAGGTCACGACCTGATTCTGTTGCGGAGTGACAACTAAGAGGGGACACTTAATAAGGGCTCTCTCAGGATTCCTTGTGTGAGGAGGTCAAGGCGCAGCGAGTCTTCACGGCCAAGGCTCAGCCGATGTCTAGGGTCGGGGTTTCGGTTGTGACAGGTCTGAGTTGGGTTCGTGTCTGCGGTTGGGCACAGTCTGTGGACTGTTTCAGATTCAATTCCCACCAAGGATCAGGGCCCAGGGTATGGCTGGGACTAGGAGTCAGGCAGCAGCAACATCACAGTTTTTCATGTGAGGGATTTATAATTTTGTATTTTGTTTTAAAGTTATCTGCTTTCATTTTTATTGCAATATTTTAAAACTCCTACCATGTGCTGAAAAGGAGCTCGGGTGGTGTAGTGTGTTACACTTTGTACTGCTAACTGCAAGGTCAACAGTTCAAGTCCACCAGAGTAGACCCACCGGGTGCTGGGAGGGAGAAAAATGCGAACTTCTGCGCCAGTAAAGATTTATAGCTTCTGAAACCTTATACAGGGTCGCTATGAGTCGGAGTCGTCTCTACAACACAACCACCAGCCTCTCCATGGGAGAAAGATAGGACTGTGCTTCCGTAAAGAAGCAGTT